CCTACATTAACTTTCGATGATGATAGTGTCTGGCCTTGTTGGCTCATTTTTCCTAGTCACTATTTCACTTAGTCACTATTTTCTTTAGTTTTATTTAGTTTCGGATACGCGACGTTTCCTTCTGACGCAGCGCGGTGCGGCTCACGACTAGGTTAGATTCCGTCGCATGTACACTTCCTTCTCCTTTCCTTTCGGATGCGATTCCTCTAATCTTAATTGCAGTCACGCACTTCTAACACCATGTTGTGGTGGAAGTATCCCTGATAGGAAGGTCCAGGTAAAAGAATACTCGGGTCTTCATGTCTGTGACGGGCGTTGTGAGAGCGCGGTTACGATTCTCGTGTGTCGCCAGGACAATGCCCGTGCCTCTGCTTTGTACCTACAGGCAGCACCTCGGCGTTATGCTTTTGGATCATACTCGCACAATAGTAACTTTACTTTTGTGAGCAAAAATTGACTTCTTTTTAACATCCTCCTTTAATCCTTCGTATGGTATTATTATTTTTGGTTATCTTCCTAACACTAGGGTTTGTGGAACTGTCTGCAACTTTGTCACACTATATATCACGCTATCTCTGGACTAAATACGTATTTTTTAGCTCAAAACGTGTGAATTTATACCTGATCACACAAAGATAGATAAATATGAATCAAATAAATAATAAATATGAATTAAATAAATATTTTATTTTTAATTAATCAGAATGCTTTTAAGAAATTTTATTGCAAAATTCGCAAAAAATGACTACTTTGGATAAAAATTTCTCAAATTTTTAAATTTAATGTTCAAGCAAAAACTTGTATCAAAAAAATTTTTTTAGTTGACTCTTTGGACTAACAAAAAAAAATAATACGATATGAATCGCTCAAAAAAGTAATTATTTGAACTATCAAAAATCGACATTTTTGAAGAATCTATATATTTTAAGTTTACAATTAATAAATAAAATTTTATTATTTGAACAATATAAAAAAAGAATAATAATATAAGTAGATAAAGGATTGTATAATAATGTATAAATATTATTATAGTATTATTATAGTATTATTATAGTATATATAATTAAGTTTATTAGGATTTAGTTTAGAGAATGATGCAACATTCGCTCCAAAGCAATAAATCCGCCCCGGCCGAGCGATCTCCGAAAATTGACAAAAATTATAAAATTACTATTTATTATATTGAAATATAATTCTTTTTAGTTCTTGAAATATAATTCATTTTCGTGTACTTACTTTTATACTATCCGAAACTCAATAAACGTATATTTAATTCAAAATAAAGGGAATCTAGAACGCAGAAAACAAGCTAATCATATATGAGTCCCAAGTACCTTCTTTGAATTTTCGTGCATTCTCATCGAGAATCACGCAAAAAAAAAATACTTGCAGACTTATCATATCAGTTAAAATTTTGGTAAAACTGCAGAAAAGGGAAGCACCCACCGAGGACCTTAACTGTGACATATGTTGTCAAGGTCATCACCCTGAGTAACCTCCAACAACCGTTTTAACCGTCATTCACTGTCGCTTAAAAAATAATTAACAAAAAGGTTTAAAAAATAATGTCTTATTTCTACTATAACGAAAGTTGTAAACTTATATAGAATCTCGCTTTGTTGTTGAAAAGTGTATGTGTGGATCTAGTGGTGGAGTGAAAGTCATTTCGCGTTAAAAAAACCTAATCCTAACCCAACTCATTTTTTGGTGTGAGGTGGCCCTCATTTCGCGTGGAAGGTTGTAAATTCATGTTGTTTCGTATTAAAAAACCTAACCCTAACTGATTTTTTATTTTCGCATGAAAAGTTGTACATTCAAGAAGCAAAGTTCTATTAGGTTTACAATCTTCTACGCGAAATGGAAGTCACCTCGCACCAAAAAATAGAATGGATTAGGGTTAGGTTTTTTTTTAACGCAAAACGATCCCACCTTCCTCTCTGCTTGGCGCACAACTTCCGTCGCGAAGCGACTTTCGAAATGATGACCTTGAGTGATCTCCAACAAGACTTCGAAAGTTGCTTTATGTGGAAGCAGGGGGGGGAGGTTAGTGAGATGGAAGTTGCTTTACGTGGAAAGTCATTACGTAAGCAAGGAAGGGTAGGATAGTTTCTAATTATATTATATATAGCAGAAATAAAACATTATTTTTTCAAACCTTTTTTTGTTAATAACTTTTTAACGAATAATGAGCGACGGCTAAAACTTGTTGGAGGTTACTCAAGGTGATGACCTTGATAATATATGTCAAGGTCAATATCGTCGACGTGCTCCTCTTTTCTGCAGTTTTACCAAAGTTTTTTTCAGTCTCAATCTGGGTTTTCAAATTATACAATATTATAAAAAAGTTACAGCAATGTAAAAAATCCCAAAGGGTACGTTGAACCCATGAATATCATACTAGGGTTAAAATGTCGATTCAAATTTATTTTGTATTATATAAATTTACATTATACGTGAGTTCTAACAAGTTAAGTACCCGAACTCATCTTATACAAATGTCTACAATTAGGTCTCATCCAAACTCAAATTGCAGAGTCTTCTATATGAGTTTTTAGATGTTTAACTTGTTGAAACTCGTAACGAACAGTGATAATTACACTGATAAATTTCGCATTAAAATTTAAAAAATTAACATCATTTAATGTCCCGAGATTAAACTATAATTGCTGGAGACTTTTATTTATTAAAATTTTTAATCCCATGCACTAAAATTTAAAATTATAAAATTTAAATGAATTTTATCAGGAGACAATTTTTTATAAGGTAAGGGAGAGGCTAAAAGTCGGCACCGGGGCTAAGCGGGCATTTGAATTTTGAGTGGCAAAAATATATTTTATACTTTCCAATTTATATTGTAGATGACATCTCATGTGTCTACTTTACCAACGAAATTTGGTTAGTTTATGTGCCGCGTTATTATGTTTAGATAGTCAAACGTGTTTTCGATAGTCAAAAGTAATTTTTGAGATTTCATTTTTCGAATCGCATCATTTTTTGTGTATATGGATAAAATGAAGTTACAAATACCGAAACTTTTTATTGCCATCTTCTAGTCTTATAATCACTCTATAAAACGCTAATAATCATTTGACAATGATAAAATCATTGTCTGTTTACTTTATTATTGAAAAAAAGATACCTACTTAGCCCCGGTCTCTCCTACATACTTTAAATTTATTTTCTATTTATAATATTTAAAAATTATTATTTAAATTATCAAATTAATTTGTTGAAAGTAAGAAAATGATTGAATAAACTGGAAATTTCAATAGGGATTAAACGTAATACAAATGTACTTACATTAATTGAACGATTTTTTGTAATAATGGAATAATTCACATTTTGTAAAAACGAACAATAAATGTAATTTATCCTATTACTTTTTAATTTTTGAATTTATTTTCTATTTTTACAAAATGTGGATTAGATCATTGTTGCAATAAGCCCTTCAATTGTACACTAAAAAGAAAGGAAGAAACATACAATTTTAACTTCAGACTATTTTTCTCTATTATAAAAATTTTTATACAACAGGACAATAAGAGTCAAGCATGGTAATCTTGACAAATCAAACGATTAACAAAATAATTATTAATATAAAGATTATGCGTTTCTTCCGTGTCCAGATCCATTCTTGGAATGCCAACATTTCGTGAACCTTGTAGTCCATTTCATCAGGGCAAGATTCACGAAACGTTGGCATTCCAAGAATAGATCTGGACATGAAGGAAACTCGCGAAACGCATAATCTTTATATAGAAAGTACCCATGAAAAGTTTATTAATAATTAATCTGTTTATATGTTTTTTTTTATATTAGGTGTTGGAATTAATTCGTAGCGTTTTACAAGTGATGGGAAGTACTTTCATTAATGTATTTTTTAATGCTCATGTGAAATAAATAACATTCTTTCATTAAAAAACGCTACGAATTAATTCCAACACCTAATATGTTATGAAAAAATTTTTTTCTTACAAACTAATTTATTTTAGTGAGCTATCTCTACCTATTAACGAAAACTATAATATAAAAACGAACTCTAATAATAATCTAAAATGTATTAAAATTATTAAAAGGTAAATTTGTTGGGAGGAAGAAAAACGATTTATTGTAAAATAATAGAACGTAGCTCACTAAAACAAAAATTCACCATATCGCAAACATTTAAATTCTATCGATTTAGTAAAAAACTAGTCTTTGACCATTCAGTGTCAATTATATTTAAATTAATGAATAACTTTTAATACGTAAAACGTTAATTACAAAGAAAAAGAAAAAAGAAGGAAAGAAAATTCTGATATTAATTATAATCCAAACAGATATCAAAACCAAAATTGAATCTTTAATAATTTAATCTTAATGTAACGAAGAATGTACACTGATGTCAATCAGATGATGACAATCAGTATACATTCTTCATCACTAAATGCCACTGAGGGTCCAAAGACTCCAAGGCTTTTTCAATCGTATATATATTTTATAATCTCGCTGTAAATCGAATTTTTGGGTTCATCAACCGTTAGTTTAGATCTCCAACTGTCGATTGAAAAGTTCGCGGCAAGTCAGTCTCTGCATAACAGCCGAGCAGAAACGACGCATTTCGAGGCGGAGTATAAAATATCCCAGTTTGTTATTTACGTTGTGCAAAGTGAAAATCGAAGCGATTATTTATTCACGTTTTGTAAATTTCATCGTTTTAAATTGTAAATATTATATTACTGTTCGCGCTATAATTTCTTAGTGTTGTAATTATAACTTTTTCACGAATAATTACATGGAGTATAATTTGTAGGGATGCACCGGATTGTAAAATTATTGGATATTGAATATCTGGATAGAATGTAACATCGAATATCCGGTATCTGCTTGGATATATATTAAATTCAACTGGATATATTCGGGAATATTAATGATATCCGGCTATCCGATCAGATAAGTAAAAAAGTGCCGAATAATATTGGATACCGGATATTTTCTAGATATTCGGTTCATCCCTAATAATTTGCCTTCGTGCCACAGGCCGATGTGCGATAAGCACCGCGTTTACTTTTGCGTCGAATGGGTTAGAATAAAATCCATGTTTATATGTTTTTATATTTTTTATAATATTTTTACTTTTGTAATTATGTGTCCAAAAATACTTCATTCATAACTTTTTTACTAAATATTGTATATTAGGTTAAATTAATTGTGTTTTTTCTTTCTCTAAAATTTTCTTATTTATTTCGCAAAATAAGTATCTTTTTTAGAATATCCAGTGTCGGACTTAACTTTATCTAAAAAAAAATGCTATCTCAGGAATACAACCCTAAATTTTTAGTAAAAAATATTAAAAATAACTATACGGTTTATTTGTTTAAAAAGAATATATACTTCTTAAATTTTAACTAATTTTTTTTTTTGGTATATTTACAGTAAAATTTCACCATAACTGCAATTACATCTTCTTTTAGAAGCTTTGAAGTGTATCCAAACAAATTTTCAAAGCAAAATATTGAAAACTTTAGGAATAGTATACACTTTTTCACGCTGGGGTCCAATTAATCCCGTGGCATTTAAAGATTAAGATTAAATTATTAAAGATTTAGATTTGATGTCTGGACTAATAATTAATATCAGAGTT